TAAAGATTTTTGGAATATTTTAAATTCATTCAATAAATCTAAAAATGATAACAGTAATGCTGATATATCTTTGGACGAGCTATATGAATACTTCAAGAAATTTAATAGCTCTGATGAAGATGAGGATGAGGATGAGTTTATTATTCCAGATATGAATGAAAATGTGTTCGATTTTATACTTAATAGTGACGTGCCTGAAAATGAAATTAGACAGGTTATAGTTAACCTTCGTAATAATAAAGCGCCGGTTATCGATGATATATTAAATGAGCATATCAAAAATACACAGTCTATACTACTACCTATATATGTTAAACTTTTTAATGTTATATTGAACTCTGGCTGTGTACCAGAAGCATGGACAATTGGAGTAATAAAACCCATATACAAAAAGAAGGGTGACCCTAAAAATCTCGATAACTATCGAGCTATTACATTAGTCTCATGTCTTAGCAAAGTATTAACTGCTATTTTGAACTCTATATTAAATAGACTTTCAGAAGGAATTGATCTAATTTCAAATGTTCAAGCTGGTTTTAGGAAAGGCTACTCTACAACAAAAAATATATTTATTCTTCATGCTTTAATATCTATATACAGTTGATTTCAGAAAAGCGTTTGGTACTGTTTGGAGGGTAGGTTTTTGGAAGAAATTATTAAAGAATAATATCACAGGAAAGATATTTAATGCTATAATTAATCTGTATGCAAACACTAAATCTTGCGTAAAACTAGCAATGGTATGACCGATTTTTTTCACATGTCACGTTGGGATAAAACAAGGTGAAAATCTCTCCCCATTTTTGTTCTCAATATATTTAAATGATTTAGAAGAATTGTTCATGCAAAGTAATGTTGACCAACTCCATTATGTTGATAATTTATTTCAAGAATGCATGGGTATATTTGTTAAATTATTTATTCTGCTATATGCAGATGACACAGTTGTTATGTCAGAAACAGCTAAAGGTCTACAGAATGCTTTCCGTGAATTAATCTCAATAAAACTAAACTTGTTATCTTTGAAAAAAGAAAAAGTAATGCACAAAATATTCGTTTTGCTCTTTTTGGTGAAGAGTTGCAAACACATGACAGTTATTGGTTTCTAGGACTGCTGTTTCATTATAATGGCAGTTTCTGTAAAGCAAGAAAAAACTTTGTTGAACAGGCTCAAAAAGCAATTTATGCATTATATAAAAAAAATAAGAAATATTATTTTACCAATTGACCTACAATTAAAACTGTTTGATATATTAATATCCCCAATCCTTTTGTACTCCTCAGAAATTTTGGGGTTTGAAAATACCAATATGATTGAGAAAGTACATGTACAATTTTGTAAAAGAGTTTTAAACATACGTAGCTCCACAGCTAATATAATGGTTTATGGTGAAACGGGTAGGTACTCTCTGAATATTGAAATTAAATCTAGAATGGTAATGTGTTGGTATAAACTAATTACAGGTGAAAATAAATTGTCTAGTATAATGCACAAGCTTATGCTGAATTTACATGAAAATGATTTCGCTGATTTTAATTGGATTTCATATATCAAGAATCTATTCAATTGCAAGGGACTATAAGTAACGTATGGTTACAACAAAACACTTGCACTATGAATAAAAATTACCTTAGGGTTAGTTTTAAAACTATTCTGTATGAACAATTTATACAAATGGTATACTGATATTGAAAATTCTTCCCGGGGTCAAACATATGCAATATTTAAACATCAATTTCAGTTTGAAAAATACTTAACTATGCTCAAACAAAAAGATAGAACAACTATCTGTAAGTTCAGAACCAGCAATATATCTCTGCCTATAGAGACTGGGCGATGGACTAGAACACCACGTGAAGGCATAATCTTTCCGCTTTGTTTTACTGGAGTTGGAAGCGAGTATCATTATTTGTTTAAATGTTCAAATGCTTATGTAAGTCAAATCCGCAGAAAATACATACCAATTTATTATACCTCTAATCCATCTGTTCATAAAATGAAAGGACTAATATCAATATGCAATGTTAGAATATCATCAAATCTATCGCTGTTCATACAATTACTAGAAAAACAACTACAAAATAATATGTGAATTTCACACATCAAACTGTAAACTTTTGTATCCATATAGATATTAATGATCATTTTGTTAAACCTAACATAATTGTATTGTATAATGAGTGTGGTTACAGCTTGTTTATTATGGTTTGTTTGTTATATCCCTGATTGAAGGTATTTGTATCTGTCTATTACAGTATTGTGTGATGGGATTGTGACACTGTCTATTATACCTTTGTAATAATATATGGTATGGTGAGTATGATAGTGATTATTATGCCATGGTATGATTGCACTGTATGGTGTGGTATACTATCTATAATACATATATCATGGAGTGCGAGTAATATATGTGTAATACTGTAATAATATTATTGTAGGATTGTACTGTAAGATGAATGCAACAGTGCCTGCTATAACACTGTGTGAACGCACGGTATGGGTGAATGTAATGCTATGTATTATACCATCGTAGTAGTATTGTAAAATGAGTGTAATAATGTATATCACAGTGTATGATGAGTGTCATTGTATGAGCAGTGCGTTATATTGTCTATTATAATAAGATATGATAGTACGTATGAACAGTGTAATTGTGTGTTTATCATTGTATGAGGAGTGTAATAGTTTCCACTATATTGTTGTACGCTAGCATAGTAAGATGAGTGCTTTACGGTCAACCATATCATTGTTATAGTGTACTTTATGATGACCTCTTGTTGCGCATAATAGTGTGCCTGAGTGATAATAAAAATCTCTGAACAAATCTCTGAAATCAACCTAAAACTTCCCAAGGTCATATATTCTATTGTTCTTTGTAGAACTCCCATAATGGAATTGGCTTTAGTTACTTTTTCAGATAAATGTTTATCAAATGATAAATTATTGTCTATGATGACACCGATATCTTTATCATCACTTTGCATTTATCTGGATGGAAACGATGATGCCAGGCCTCTAACCACTTTTGGAGTGAAAATATATCCTATTGTATAATCGTACAATCTCGTTTATCATTGATTGTTCTAAATGTTTATGAAATGACACCACACTTAATTAAAAAAATTGTATGTGTGCGTTATTTATAATTCTTATATATCTTATGTTTAAGCAACTCTACCATCGCGAAATAATCCATCCACTAGACCTTATGTCGTTGGGTCTTTTTTATGTTTTCGCTGATTCTTTTTTGTGTAAGTGATTTATTATTGCTTGTTTATATTAAAAATTTCCCTGAGTAGATTATCACTTTTACTAGATTTTAAACAAATAGGAAGAATATGATAATCTAGATAGACAGAAATCTCAAAGGAATTGTAATGGTTAGGTATGTATTAAAATTAGGTAACAAAAACAAAAAGCATCAATCGTGTAGGTAGATTCTGATACTTTTAAGAGCAACGATCGTATCATCAAAAGCGTGTATATTTAAAAAATAAAGTGTGTATATTTTGTTAAGTGGTCTACTTCCAGGGGGAGAAACGTCACCGTGATACATACATAACACATAAAACAGTAACAGTCTTGACTGCAGAGAGTTCCGGTAGTAGATACTGTAACGAGCTGGTACAATTCGTAGAAATTTAATGTCTTTTCCGTTAAAGTAGGTAAATCATGACCATGATGTTATTTTTCTTCGACCACATCATAACAAACTAATCATTAAAGAGTTTCATCCTCCGGACTAGTTCTCCCTCACACTTTAAATTTTAAACGCATCTGTTAAGTGCAGTGTTCTGCCCAATATGCATGTAAAATATCACTTTTATTTTTAACAGCTGGTTTTTAAGCATTTAAATGTGCTGCTTAGCAGTATAAATGTGACGTTAAGATTGTTAAAACGTTTTATTAAGGAGGAAGCTATCTTTAATTCTAATCGACGAAAACACACAAAAGTCTCATACAAATAAATAAAAATAAAATGAAAATATTTTAAATTATTCATACCTGTTATCGTAATGTGTGTTATTTAAAACCTGGCAATCATAAGTAACAATTAGCATTTCACTTAGAAAAGTTTGAAGAAAATGTACGGTTAGATTTCCTTTGGTCAGTTGAACCTAAACATATTTCCACGCAGTTTGCACAAATACAACTCAGTTAGTATTTAGTACGATGTTTTCATGATAAGTGGTTATTCGGCCAGGTACAGAGAAGATGGTTTAAGCATGATAACTGTTTTCTGGTTATTGGCCCCAGGTTTCTAGATTTCGTTTACTGCACCACGGATAGGTTAAAGACACGTACATGGATAAACTAGGTCCAGAAATTTTAACCAAAAATTGAGAAATTGCCATTCTGACATTTTACTACGTATCAAACATGAACTTGCTGTCCCTATGTAAGCTGTGTTATTAATAGACTGAGTTTGGGATCAGATGTTACCTTCAGTATGATCAAGTGATACCGTACAGTTTGTATGGATGGGATCGGAATTTGTCCTTGTGTTTTAATTTCTTCATATTTTGTTCAAACTTATTATTAAATATACCTAATAGATCATGCTGCAGGACGTGCGCTCGGGCACATACAGTCATAGAAGACGTCTTTTCATTGGTTCCCGAGTGATTCCCATAGTTGCTTTTGTCGATTCAGTGATGTATGGTGTTTTGTGTTTGGGGACATTTTGAAAGCATACAGTGACATTGATCAAATAAAGAAAACGACATGTTTGATTCATTTTGTTTTTTATATAATTATAAAATTATATTATATATACTTTGTGTACAAAACAAAATATCACATATTTGCTTCAAAGATTTACATTGTCTTCAATCAGGCATACACACATTGATCTTCAAAAACAGATTTATTCTTCTTCAAGCTTTACTGAGACATGTGCATGTATTCGCTTAACATATCATGCATAACCTCCGCACATTTACTTACACTGTACCTACACAAGACTATCGCACACACTGATAACCGTCTGATACTCTTCTTAAATCACTATCATAAACACTTTAACACAATATCACAATTATCAAACAGTCTCCCCATAGCATACTTATCACACAGCACTGACTCTATCATACACAAGCACCCCGATGTATAACTATTAATCAATAACACGCCTAGACAAGATTCAACCATGCCTCTTCCTATAGTAAAGTAAAAATATAATGTGCTATATACACTATATTTGTTTGCAAATGAAAAAATGGAAATTGTGTCAATGATTATATACATAATTAATTCAGCCATTTTGCAATATATATACTTGTATATCTGGAAGCCATTTTACAGTTAAAAGCATTTAAATGTGAGATAGTGGAAGACAATCAGAAACATTTTACTCATATCCAGAATTTCTTTAAAATAAAATTTAACTAACTGAGAAATAGATTCTTTTCAGAGATAAAATAGAAGTGTTACATTTTTTTTAACTTTCGCGAAGCATCCATAACTGCAGCAGACAATTAGCTGAGTATTACAGACACAAAGACATAACATATGAAGCATGTAAATAAGAGAAATATGTTAACATCAGATATGAAGAGTTTGTGTCATGCTCAAGGCATAAAAGGACTAGGAAATAAATATAAACAAAATGAGAGAAACAAAATCGGATTTCCCGTCGAGGACTTGATTCATTTTCGTGTTCATTGGTACTGTAGGCGATCTACACTGTTTTACACGTGGATGTCTTGTACCCAAAGCAGGAAATCGAGAACACCACACACTGGTAAGTTTCGGCTAGCCCACGGTGGGCAGACGACTTGTTCGCGCTGACCTTTCCAAATCAGTGTCAAGGATATCTCATCAAAAGTCAATAAGTCAACCGAGATAGTTCTGATGCTGTGATCTGGCACGGTAAAGCAAGCCACCGTAAGAAATAGTCACGTTTGGTCACCTGACTGACGACAATGGGTGCTGTCATCAAAATACACGACGTATCATGACGTCATCACAGGTAGGGCTGACAGAACTGGTAGACGAGTCTTTTGGAGTGTGTCGTCTTCTTGATGATTCCTTTCTTGTAATATTGTCGGATTGACCGGCTAAGCTTGTCATAGTTCATGGCTGGACGGTTTTTCCTCTTTCCCCATAGCTTTGCTACTCTCGAGGAGTCCTCTATTTTGAAGATTCCTTCCTTTTGACTGACCCATTTAATGCAATTTGAAAAATTGTCTGTGTGTAGGAGCAACTCTTTCAAGAACTGCCACAAATGTATCGTCTGTTTATGTTCAGTTTCTTTGGGGAGGCTAGCTGAAAATACAACATTGACATTGACATTAACAATAAACACATACATAAAATTACGAAATAAGTATTTGAATAAGAAGGAACGATTACGTTCACACTGACATATACACTTGTTCAGATGTCCCAAAAATAGGTTTTCAAAATGAGGGGCTACAGGTGGGGAAATTATAATCTAACAATTGAAAATACTTACGTGATGTTACACCGCAAATGTTCGAGAATTCGTCGTTGTCGCTCCGTTCATCGCTGTCATCACTAGACACACTTGGGCAAGGAGACATGGCTGGGATAGGAATCCGCTCAAAGTCAGGGTAAAACTGCTGGTTACAGTTGAAATCTGTCGTCTGCGACATACACGGTGTATCTAATGTACATGCTAAAAATGAAACGAAACGAAACTCATTAAATTTCTAAATTCGTACATAAATTCTGTTTTTAAGGCAACATATCCACTTTGATAACAAATTAAAATAAAAGGAGATTTACCATGAACGTTATATTACAGAGCTTGACAACTCATTGTAAACACTAAAATGCTCAGTGTCGTTGACGTCGCGGTCTGGCCGACAAGCATATGTGCGGCACATTATCGTAACACAGTGTTTGAATAAATGGATTTATCAGATTGTGTAAACGTTGTTATTCTCTACTACAAAGTTGCATTTTTTCCGGAATATGTTAGTGTAACTTGGCTTTAGGTACAATACATACCACTTTTCCAAATATCAAGCTGGTGATAGATGTTGGACCACGCTGCAGGTGTTCTACGTTTGAAATCTTCTTGTGTAAGGTTGCAGAAATCGAGCCCGTTTATTTTGAATGCATTCACATCTATGGCATTTGGGCAGTACTCCTGTGACTGCCACTGCAGCCACTTCCTGACATCATCTTGGCTCCAATATCGGGGATCTGGACAACACACAATAATAACGTGAAAAACAGGTATGTTTAGTATAATTTCTACGTGGTACTTTATAACTGTAATTTAATATGTGGTTTGTGCCTTTAGTTTACGTCATTAGAGGTTTTTGGTGGTTTTATTGACAGGCGTTTATGTGTGGTGACATTGTGTTACGGGGTATTGATTATCTAACAGGCGATTTGGCAGGAGCACGTAAGCAAAACATACCTGTGTAAAGGTACGTAAAGCACCAGGTAGACACAGGTAAACATATCGTCCTACTGTAAATCTCTGTTGCGTGACACTGGCGTGTATTTTGTTTAAGGGATGGGACCTCGCAAAGATTGTAACGCACATAAACATAGGTCGTATACATGTACAAAATAACGCTTTAATACGCGTGTAGCTTACATGCGGTTCTGCAGGAGAAAAGTTTTTAATGCTTTCTATATTCCTTTTACTTGTACAACAATCCCGTTTAACTTATTTCATTACACCCGCAATAACACATAAAACAACTCTTAATTAAATAGGCTCAATGATAAACAAAGCAACAGAAAATAAATACTTACTCTGATTTATCCTGAGGATGCCACATATGTGTTCAATGTCTTGCTTCATCACACCAAATACTAGTCGGGAGAGAGATTCGTCATCTTTCAGCAGCATGCTGTTTTGCTGATGAAGATGGTGTGGTGGTTGGACATGCGCATTTAAATGCTGTTGGGATCTTAATTGTTCACACGGAGGAAAATCCATAGGTTCTTGTTTCTCCTGTTTAATATGCACATGCTCTGGATAAAATTGTGTATCTAAATCCGTAAAACTTTTTGGGCTATCGGGCACGCAAACTTGGTCGTGTGATGCTGTTGTGTTACTGCACATCTCAGAGACTGGCTCCAACATACTCAAATCGTCGACAAGTATGCTGTCAAAACCACTCATCATTATATCACTCTGGTTTGTCATAAATGGAACTTGTGGAACCTTTTGAAAAGAATAAAAACATATTTAGATACAAAGAAGAAAGAAGCTAACTAACCAAAAGCATGGCAGGCTTGATATTTTTCGTTGTTCTGATAGCGTTAAGTGGATTTGATATTTGATTAAGGGATGAATTATCTATCGCGTGTCCTGTAATTAAAGGTGGTATGGAACGTACCTTTTGGTCTCTATTCTGCATGCTATCCTCTGTGTCTGAGCAGCCGGAGATGCTTTGACACATGGACAAGTAAATGTTGATGTACGGGAATTCTGCTTCTGAAAAGAAACAATAACAGAAATGTATGATTAATTAATGCAATGCAATGAAAAAGCACAAGTTTTAGTATCAATTCAAAGGATTTCCTCCAAAAAATAAATTTAAAAAATTAAAATATTGATATAGAATTTACGTTTAAGAGAAAAACGTCTATTATATAATACAACGATGATAATAAGATATCAAATAAAACGTTGTAATACTAAACAGCACATGTGTCAAATAACACATTATATAAATTATTTGCAAACTTACCTGTTTGCATGGTGAACAGTTTACAGGTCTATTGCGATAGAGGTAATAGATCGAATGAAATTATTTTTCCTTACACGATTCTAAATAGCTCTAAAAGTCACGTGATGATACGATTCGGCGAATATGTATACATAGCAATGACAGGAAAAAATCTTTCGCCAAACGGGGCTGTCGGAAATGAGAATGCGTTGTTTTGATTACGACCATCCTCTTAGCCATCAAATGTCAAGTTAACTCTTGAAATCTGTTTCCATAATGCATCTTATTTGCTGATATATTTTATTCTAAACATGTTTTCAAAACTATCTGTGATAAATATCTTTATTTGTGTACTTTATGTCAATTTCTATTGTGTCGGAAATGTACATTTTACAAAGTGGGGCGTATGGGAATACCCATACACTAAATCCAGATAACCACGCGTGATTTGATTGGTTAAGAGCTTTGTGACGGTGTTATCGACTCATTGCCCTAGGTCTGGAGTATAGTAAATATAGTAGGTCAGTGGGGACAACAACTGCATGAATTTCGCAATCCACATACATTGTAGTAAACTGTTAAGCGGCCGTCTCTGCTATCACCAGTGCTCGCTATGATATCATTGTTATATTAAGAACGAATAGCATCAGTCGCTGTCTTCTTGGTATTTGGGCGCAGGTATGCAAATATGAACCACATAGACCATTTTATTTATTTTAAACCACAATCTTTGGCAATTTTATTTTGCAATAATATCTCTTTAAAATAAACGAGTAGTTACATTTGAAAACATTATGAAACTTTTTTTTTTATGTAAAACAATGTATAGTGTACATATATATGAACTTGTGAAAAGAGAATGTCGATATTTGCGATGCCGATTTAAATAAGAATAGAAAAGGGCAAGAAAAGACATTTGTTATACATCATATGATTCACACGGGAATACTGATTTGGCCCTTGACCAGCTTTTTCTCTGGATTTTCCAAGGTTTCTGTACCGGAAATGATGCCAAGTTATACTCAATGTAGCTATCACATTTCAATGGTACAGTATAGTAAACTAGAGCCTACATTTGCTAGTTAATAACAGCATTCATTACTTTTGTTAAGATCGGTTTATATGATATCATTCTTATTCTTCTATTCTTGATATTTTGCTACATTTCATGTCCATGTAAGGTGAATTAACATGACCGGGTTATTTTTGGTTCAAACTGGTGGATTTACAGTAATGCAAATATTCTGTAGGATATGTTAAAGGCCGTATCCGATATTCCAAACATAATGAATATCAACATGTATTAGCTTGTATTTTTGTCACATTTATTTATATCGCCAATAGGGGAATGATGCGAAGGGTTGTTATAGTAATGGTTTCTTCCAAGTAGTTAACAACACCAACAGCAGCAAAGGATAGTCTCCTCAACAACCTGTGAGGGGATGGATGTCCTGGTGGCTAGACCATTGTTTTATTATTATTATTATTTGTCATTAGCATATCAAAATATACACAGTTTAAAGATAAAAGAAGAAATATAATTATCCGGTATTGGTTATTACGATTAATTAATTATTACTGAATTGTGTTCGGTAAAACACATAACGTACAGTGCATTCGTACCGAGTCCAGCAGTTTGTAAAAGGATTTCATCGCACATCACAAGACGTACGCTTGGTGTGTGTGTTGATGGCCATACAGTTTTAAAACTCTCATAATCTATAACTTTTTGTTTAGTTATTAATCTTTCTGATGCTCATGATAAACATCACGTTTTTTTATTTGCAAAAAATCCTCGGAAAGGTATTTGTAAAGTTATCTTGTAGTTAGTTCATAATGTGATAGAAAAACAGGAACAATTATTCAATCATTACTTTCAGGAAGTTATTTGATATACGGTAATAAAAACATTAATCACAATACAGGTATTCGTCAACAGTTTGTCAGACTTATTAACATGTGTTAATTCATTGATTTTCTCAAAAGGATTGACATTACGATTTCATTGAATCTATATTTATTTAGATATTATAATAACAATTAACTTGTTTTAGCAATAATAATGATATGTGTCATTAGATACATAACAAATGACTCTATTTTACAGCAAAATGTGCAAGAACATTATACAAAAAAATAGTTATTAATAAAAGAAGGCATTGTATTTGGACCTGAAAATCCCTGGAGGAACATCTCAAACGATAGCAATATAATGAACTATGAATATTTACAAACATGCTCTAGGAACATAATAATTAGATCAGTACCGTCCAATGATGATAGGAGACACCATACATAAACACATGCATGCATACATACATGTACAAACATACATACACTCATACATGCATGCGTACATACATACATGCTTGCGTACATACATACACATATACATACATACATATATACATGCATACATAACATTCAAAATATGTTGGTTGATTCTATATACATCTGAACACAAACACGAATAGCAGAGTTAAGATCTTCACTAAGGAAACTACTTCCTTTAGTCAATATATTAATATTAAACATTAGATGTCCATAAATGTTTAGGTCCAAGTTTAAGTGTAAATTAAAATTTGTGTCAAGCTGTAAATGAGACAGAGATATTAACATATTTTGTCTTTTAGTCATATATCTAGGGCAATGCAAAAAGAAGCGACTCACATCTTCATTATTGTAACCACATATACAGGAGGGATTATCATTAAGATGGTCTCTAAAGAGATCAGAGTTAAACTGACTTTGCACGATTTCGAAGTTGACATAATATTGTGTTAAAAGATCTAGTCCCTACATATTTAAAACTCTTAGTACATATATCTTCATTATTTTGGGGTATGGCATGATGAACAAGTTATTTTTGTAGTTCACTAATAGATCTCAAATTATAATAGTTACAGGTCTATTCCACCAAGACATTATGCTAGGAAAGAAACTGTTGTAATATGCATTAGATCTACAAATTTAGTGGTTCAAATATACGTTGATGTCGGACATGATGGGTCATAGCTTCATTGCTGACTATGTAAGGTTCAACAATTTCAAAAAGATAATTAGGACTAACATGGTTAATTATTTTAACCAACAATATATGCTGCTGATCCTAAAAGCACTTGATACGGTTCGCTTGGATAGTTCATTTGGTTAAATTAGCCTTGTTATTAGTCTGAGTGGGTTGATCTCTATAATTGTATGAAGAGTACGCCCCGGGTGTGTACAATATCACGCTATTTGTTTTGTGAGTACGAATGTTGTTGACACGTTCCTTTTAATTATTCATAATTGGTTATTGATGAGTAAAAACTATAAATAAAACATGCAAATCTTATTATAGGTCAAAGTAAACCTAATTAAAATAAAAACTCATTAGTATAGAAAATAGGTTTGTGTGGTGTTATCGCGTTGTGTTGGGTATGAAAGTGCGGGTTATAATATTCCTATCACACAAGTATAAACTACCCGCTACACGTATTTGGTATGCACGTGTGTAGAGTGAGACACGTGCTACACGTATTTGGTATGCACGTGTGTAGAGTGAGACACGTGTACTACTGTAATACATATGTTGTGTATACCGCCGGAGCCAATGTCAAATTACCATCCTGTCGATTCTCTTTGTAATGTTATTTTTTGTTTACTTTTATCTGCAATAAAAAAAAATTAAATGAAAACATCAAGAATTGGTGACAATTGAATAACTACATCTGTATATAAACTTTAATAGTTGACCTTATAATACTGAAATCCAGTTGAATTTAATTCATCCAATTATAATGTTATGGGCGGAAGTATACTTAGAAGAAACCGTCTACCGAATGTTATTCGGCAAATTCAAATAATCCACGTCTGTCGAGGTCTGTGCTAGGTCATCATGAAACAGAAAGTAGGCTGCCAAAGTAAAATTGGTAAAAGCCTTCAGATAGTCATTTTTACGAGCATACAATGGTTAACTCACGACAAAAGTTGCACTGTTCAGTAGAGGTTTCGACATCGATATTTTCACAAAGTGATAAAAACACAACAATTAAAGAATAAATGTTACAATGCATTTTAAATATTTGTTGTATATTTTTTATTTATGAAAATGTAAAAAAACCGTACCCAAGACTTGTAATATTGACAGTTCAGCACCATTCAGTATATACTGTACATGTATCTATTATTTATAAGTTTAGGCAGTGATAACGAACGAATTGACCACTGGGGAAACTTTGTTAATGAGGTGGATGGCCACGCGATCACAACTGGAGTTACAATGTACTATCTAACACCACATAGATCTGTCACGGACAGGGAGTCTGGAACGTTACTGGCATGTGACACATTGACCTACAGCCTTTATTTTGTAAATGTGGACATATTTCATACTTTTTTTACACGGAGGATGGGAAATCTAATGGGTTTTTTTTTAAGGAAAACATTAAGGTCAGGAGTGAATTGGGGTAATTAATCCAAGACAAACGTGATATCACACTTGCTAGCCTTATGTATAATATGTATACACAATAACGAATACTAGTTATACAAAGTTAGAATTTCTAGACCCGGAGAGTATATATTTGATGCAACGTATATAGTTGTATACACTAGTCAACATATATAAGGATAAATTTATAATAAATCACTTTCCGAGCGTTATTAACTACTGTAAGGGAATTTATCAAAGGTGATATGATTGCTATTATATATTGATAAGACGTTTAAAAGCTATAACATCACACACGTTTATGGCAATTATAGGTGAATTAAACATAGATGTACATATATAATAATGCACCTATGCCTACTGCGGTTAATTTTAAATTCAAAGTAAAATACTCCCTGTTCACAATAAAGTGATAATTACGATGTATGTAAGATTCGCATTGTGAATGCAGTAAATGCATGTCAGCAAAGTGATTTTGTATGTATGCACGCCGCAAAACTATGTCGAATGCAGTGGAAGTAGAAAAATTGCAGGTGATTCCTAGTGTATATACCTTACATAAGTGTCCATGAGTTTACCTCTGCATCCATTAAACGGTAGAGGTGTTGGTTAAACGGGTGTGTAAGGATATCGGTTGATTACTCTTTTGTCACTTTGATTGGTTAAATCCTTCACTATCAGATTTGACGGTTTGAAAAT